TTCCTGCTGGACTCTGCAAAAAGGGGCTGGGGACCAAGAAGTTGGTAGTGGCAGGCATTACTTCAAAGCAGGGGCAAGCAACCTTTTTGGCCTGAGTGCTGGAAAAAATGTAAATCTGCTTGTAAAGGATAGTGGTGTGCCAGCAAGCAAGAAGGAGAAAGATCAGGATTGTCAAACATACTGGGAGCAAGCCATGTCTTTACATCTGCATCCGTCCAGGAGGCAATGAAGGCCATTAGCTGTTGCATTCCCTCCTGGTGCCAGTGCTTAAGGGGCTCACCTCAGTTAACACAGAGCCAGCCAATATAAGCAAAATGGTCTCATGTTCTTCTGTTTCAGACATGTGCCAGGGGTTGAGTTCTAAAAGTTGAACTGTGAAGCTTGTGCAGATCCTTTCAAACTGCAGAGATAGCATTCAGTTTTCTGTTTAATTAGAAATAGGGTTGAGTAAGATGAAAAGGCTTCTGTATTCCTCTAATTTTTGTCCTCACCTTTAAAAAAATTTCTCTGAACATCTTCACTACAATAGCATGTTGTAACGAAGGTTTGTGATCTATGGCCCAATCCTAAGCAAGTTTATTTAGAAGTAAATTCTACTGGTTTTAATGGAATCCACTCCAAGGTAATAGTACATAGACCTGAAGCGATGAAGGCCAGTGCTAGGTGCAATTTGTTCACAATGTTCCACTAAGTTTATGGCACCCAATCCCAAGAAATATGTATAGGATTACAATCCTAGTATTGTTAGCTATTTGAGGTACGGCTTTATCTGTGAATATTGTTAGTGGCTATGGAGTATTAATAATGTTGATTGTGGGAGTAGAAATTGTGGAGGGAGAAGTGAGTTTTGTGAAGCCAGTCTTACTCGTAACAGAATTTAATCATCCATAAGCTTGATATTAGTGGATTTAGTACTAAGGACATAGAGGGTCACAAGTGTCACTTGAATTAACTGACCATTTTTGAGTTAGCTTTCTGAAGTGGTGGCTGTAGGTGATGGCTTTGTCAGTAAGACTGAATATATCTAGTAATAGAAACAATAATCTGGTGAAACCATCCAGCCATTTTAGTTCACTGAAGTTGGGAGAAACCTGAAAATGAAACATGATGTTTTATAGGATGACAAAGAATAGAAGAACAAAGGCAAACATAAGCAAAGAGAGTTTTTGTTGTGACAGATGGCTAACAAGGGAACCAACTAACAACTAAATAGATAGTAGCAACCTGTTTCTGAAAAAAAACATGATTTTGTTTCTAGATTGCTGAACTGGATGCTGCACGTCTTCGAGGGGCTGAAATGGACACCATGCTTGCTGAGAAACAAAAAAAACTGGCTGAAAAAGAAGCCTATATAATTGATTTACAGTTATACGGTGGATCAGCTAATGATGCCAAAGAAGTACTCATCCATAACAATGAATTAAAGGTATGAACGTATATGCATAAGTCCTGTCTTACCTATCATCTAGAGGTGCTTAGCTGCAAATGTGGCATATTTTTGAGTATACTGGGTAGCGTGTACAAAACCACAAGCCTTTAATTGCTAGTGATATTACAAGCTTTGCAGAAAGCTTGATCAAAATTTAGCTGTACCTGCTGTTAATCCCAGCTGCATGATTTTCATGCTACTGTTTTAATTGTCTTTTCTTGAACTTTAAAGAATCAGCTTTCCACAAAAGAGACCTCACTGCAGAGTATGGAAATTCTAATTCAGAACCTGACAAAGAAAGTTGAAGACAGTGAGGAAAGATGTAGCCTTCTTCAAGAACAGATTGAAAAACTGAAAATTCTTCAAAACAAAGAGAAAGAGCACTTCCAGGAAAGAGAAGCCATGTATACTCAAAATGTAAGTGGATTTTCAGTAAAAAGAGATGGCAAACTGTGAGGACTCATGAAGGAGGAGAAATCCCTGCTCCTTCTCCTCTGCTTGTTTGAGGAGGAACTGTGGCTCACCAGTAGAGCATCTGTTTGGCATGCAGAAGGTCCCAGTAGATGATGTGAAGGCCCTCTACCTGAGACTCTGGAGAGCTGCTGCTAGTCTGAGTAGACAGTACTGACCTCGATAGACTGATGGTCCGATTCAGTATAAGGCAGCTTCATGTATTGATGTGCTTTCTCCATGTTCCCAGGAGGAAAGCTGTGGGGCCAACCATGTTAATAGGGAGAGCTTGAAGTTAAAAGTGCACAGGATATTGGCTAGTGATGGCTGAGGGTGGGTGGAGGTTGGATCTGAAAAACCCATTACACTTTAAACTCCAAGGTGCCTTCCTCCCAGCTGATGGGGCAGGGGCTTGGAGTGAGAAGCACAGGGTGCCCCTTTTAGCTGTAGTCCTTATCAGCTGGCTGGTGGTGGAAAGCACACTTGCGACTCCAAGCCTCCTGTTCTGGTACCTGCTTCCTCTCCATGCTGCCACTGCCTCCTCCTTCTCTTCATCACCACTGCTGCCTCCTCTATTGTCTTCACTTTTCTCTTCCCTTCATCATCCTCCACCACTCTCTCATTGCTTCTTCTGCTTCTAGCCATCATTTTGTTAGGGCCCTTCCTCATTCCCCCCCCCATCTTCTCCATTGCGCCTCCTCCTCCTGCTGTTGCCTGGCTCACCCTTCCAGCTCTCTTGCCATCGTTTTCTCCCTGTCTCCTCAGCTCCTCTTTCCTTTTTTTTTAATGCCTGGTTATGCTCACTGCAGTGGCTCAAGTGGTTAAGACGCTGAACTGCAGGCTGTGGAAGGTCGGTAGTTCAGCAGTTCAAGACCCGGGTGCCGCAAGACGGAGTGAGCTCCCGTCTCTGGTTCCAGCTCCTGCCAACCTAGCAGTTCGAAAGCAAGAAATTGCAAGTAGATAAATAGGTACCACTTCGGTGGGAAGGTAACAGCGTTCCGTGCGCCCTGGTGTTTAGTCATGCCGGCCACATGACCACGGAAACGTCTTTGGACAGCGCTGGCTCTTCGGCTTTGAAACGGAGATGAGCACCGCAACCCTAGAGTCGGACTCGACTGGTTTTCGAGCAAGGGAACCTTTACCTTTACTTATGCTCACTGTGATCTCATGAGATCTTGTCCGGCATTATTTTTTGTTTAGCTGCAATGTGTGTGCTTGTAAATCCCCCATTTTTTGTATACTTGTAAGGTTTCTCGCAAGCCCTTTCTGTCCCTTGGCCTGTTGTTCAAATTTTTTTGAACTATGTTCTGTAGCCAGGTTTGCTATAGAGAGTAAAGTAGGGGCGGGGGGGAGGAAAATATGAGAAATGATATAGTGCTAGCTTGAAAACTGGACGCAGATATATATTTATTGCATTTTCCTGCTGTTCCTTTAGAGAGCTCACGTATACTTCTGCCCTTCTTCATTTTATCCTCACAGTTCTCTGAAGAAGGTTAGAGTGAAAGAGAGAGTGACTGGCCTAAGGTCACCAGTGAGCTTCATAGCAGAGGAGGGGTTTGAACTTGTCCCCCTGTACCTTTTCCCCCAGGGTGTCAGCTTTTGAGAGGAGCTGCGGTGGCTCAAGTGGTTAAGACGCTGAACTGCAGGCTGTGGAAGGTCAGTAGTTCAGCAGTTCGAGACCCAGGGTGCCGTAAGATGGAGTGAGCTCCCATCTCTAGTTCCAGCTCCCGCCAACCTAGCAGTTCGAAAGCAAGAAATTGCAAGTAGATAAATAGGTACCACTTCAGTGGGAAGGTAACAGCGTTCCGTGCGCCTTGGTGTTTAGTCATGCCGGCCACATGACCACGGAAACGTCTTCGGACAGCACTGGCTCTTCGGCTTTGAAACGGAGATGAGCACCGCAACCCTAGGGTCGGATTTGACTGGCTTTCGAGCAAGGGAACCTTTACCTTTACCTAAGCTTTTGAGAGTAAAAGCTCCCTTGGTCAGATGCCTGACAAAGAGAGCCAACTTGGTGACATGGTTTATGTCAACCCTGAATCAAACTGACCTGTAAGCCCTTTCCCTAACTCCGTAAGCCCTCCCCCCATCCTCACGCACCAGGCCATGCCTGAACAGTTTAAGAGGTAGAGTTTTTAGTTGAAAGGGAGGGGCTTTGGGGGGAAAAAGTGCCTTTCCAAAATCCAAAAAGTGGGATTATTATTTTTTTACAACAGGTAGTACAAGGAAGCTAGATTGCTTTTCTTGAAGTTGTTCTTATAATTCATCAGTGGCCTTGGTCCAGAAACTTCTATTGGTCCAAAATGTAGCAGTCAGGTGCAGAATACAAGGACTCATATCACTCCATTGTGGAAAGAGGCTGCCCAGTTGTTTCCACAGACAGTTCAAAGTGCTCTAAATGGCTTTGCACTGGAGTACTTCAAGGACTCTGGCCTCTTTCCCCCATATTGTCTAGTCTGCAATTTAAGATCTGTTCCAACTGTAGGACTTCTTCCTAGTTACCTCTACCAACTAGGCTTAATGTTTTACCTTCAGCGATTTTAACCGGAAGATTTAAGGGTATAGTAAAGTTAATGGTTTCCCTTGCTTGAAAGCTAGTCGAATCTGACTCTAGGGGGCGGTACTCATCTCTGTTTCCAAGCAGAAGAGCCAGTGCTGTCCAAAGACGTTTCCATGGTCATGTGGCCAGCATGACTAAATGCCGAGTCGCATGGAACGACTCCCACCGAAGCGGTACCTATTTATCTACTTGCAATTTCTTGCTTTTGAACTGCTGGGTTGGCAGGAGCTGGGGCCAGAGGCAGGAACTCATTTCGTCATGCGGCACTAGGGTCTCGAACTGCCGAACTACAGACCTTCTGGTCTGCAGCTCAGCATCTTAACCTCTGAACCCTTACTATTAGATATTGCCCTTGTTTAAATGGAACTATTGAAACAGTGTCTCATGTGTTCTTAGAGTGTTCTTATAATAATAATATTAGACAAAGTATTTTATCTTCAATTTTATCCAGCATTATGGATTGTCCTGATACATGTAAATTGTTTTTTCTGCTTAACAACACTGATGACAACAACTGATTCTCTGGCAAAGTTTTTATATGCTGCTGTTCTTATACGAAGTAATATATTGTAATTTTGGGACATTTTAATTCGTGATGTATTCTATTTTCAATCCTTTTATGTATCTGTCTTAATGTTCTCCCTTTTATAATGCCAATAAAGGTAAACTAACTAACATTTAAGCTCTACCTAACAAGGATGGAATAGAAAAGGTAGAGAAAAAAGTACATTTCTCCCTATCTCACAATACAAGAAGTCGTGGAGGGCACTCAGTGAAATTAAAGAGCAGTAGGTGTAGAACAGATAAAAGGAAGTACTTCTTCATCCAAAGAGTAATTAATATGTGGAATTAATTCACTGCTGCAGAAAGTGGTGGTGGTAGCTACAAGCACAGACAGCTTCAAGAGGGGACTGGATAAACATATGGAGCAGAGGTCCATCAGTGACTATTAGCCACAAGGTATAGATGGAACACAATGTTGGGGCAGTGATACTATGTATTCTTGGTTCTTGGGAGGCAACAGTTGGAGAGCTTCTGGCCCTCATGATGGCACCTGGGTTTTGGCCACTGTGTGACACAGAATGTTGGTCTGGATTGGCCACTGTCCCGATTCAACATGGCTTCTCTTACATTGTTATGTTCAGTGCTGTCTGTATGGGTGGCTATCAGGGCTTTTCAGTAGTTGCACCCTGCCTATGGAATGCCATCCTCTTTTTCACCTGGTGCCTACATTACTCTCTTCTAGATGTCAGGCCAAAACACTTCTGTTTAACCAGGTTATTAATTAATGGGTTAACTTTTTAACACCATCTTCATAGTGTGTGTTAGTCTGAAGACTGTTTTTCATTTTAAGTAGCTGAATAATCTATGTTTTTTATCTTCTGGCTAGGTTTTAATACTAAATTTACTTAACAATGTTTAATATTTCGTGTCTTTATTATGGTGTGTTTTTTTTGTATGCCTTTTCAGGCAGTTCCCCAGAGGGGCATCATAATTTTTTTCTAAATAAATAAATAACCATTTGTGTCTGTCAGCCTACTGCCTTACAGACAAACAACACAAACAGACATGTTTTAAGGGGGCCTCTGAATGTTTTTAGGTGGGCATTATTAAAATAGATAATTGTTCAGTGAATTCATTGGTACAATTCAAAATTTTAGATTTTGATGTTTGATTTACAAGCACATTTAATCATTGGTACAGTACTTAAATGGTGTTACTTTGTTTGAATCAGCTTGATAGAGATTTCTTTGGGTTTTTTTTAGATTCGTATGTTTCAAAATATTATCCAAGAAAAAGAAAAAGAATTGTTGGAACTAGCCCAGAAACACGAGCAAGAACTGTTTAAACTGGCTGCCAAATCTGATGCTAGTGCTGATTTAGAGCAGGTAGGGGAAAATGCACTATGATTAAGACTCAGACAGCTTCATACTCATAGTCATTGCTTCCTGATGTCCTAGTTAAAGCATCTAGTAAACTCTTTGTTACTACACTGTCAGTTCGATTTGTCCAGCAGGCTCTATCCAAAGATAATTACGTTCTCTTGCAATTTCCAGTATACATTCCTGCATGTCTTCTCGGTTATACCAACAGCTGTAGGGCAAAACTAAATGAAATAGAAAAAAAATCCAGGATTAGAGTCTTCTCTTTTGTTGTTTGTTTTTTTAAAGCTAATTAGCATTGGCTTTGAAGATCAGGGAGGAGTTATTGGGGGAGGTGCTTAGCTTCTTTTATGATTGAAACAGCTCCTGCAGTTAGCTCTTAAGTGGAGGAGAAGCCTGATACAGATATTTACCTTTTCCCACTGTGAATTAAATATTTATGCCTTTCCACCCACATAGGATCCCCTAGTGAGTAAAAATCAAAATATTATACATTTCAACATTAAAACATCAAGACAAAACAGCATTTGAAATATAAGTGCATATAGAATGTTTTAACAATTCAATTCAGTAAAACATATAAATACACATAACAATACAACTAGGAAGGATGGCCAATAACAATTAGTGGGGGAATGCTGAACCAAACAAAAAAAAAAGTCTTCCCCTACTGTTGAAAAATAATGACAGGAGACAGACAATGAGGAGGCAGTTTTAAAATGTTGGTATCATGGCTAGGGTTGCCAGATCCCCTGGATTGGTGGGGATTACCCACTTTTTTTGGGGGGGTTCAACCTCCCGCCGGCCAGCTGTCTAGCAGGGGAAGTTGCCCACGCCAAGTCTCCGAGTGGCATTGTCGCTCGGAGATCGGGTGCGCAGGGCCCTCTGGCTGCCTGCACTTAAAGGGTTCCATTTAAGTGCAGGTAGCCGAGGCGAAGGGCCCCGCACACCCCATCTCCGCTCGGGACCCTCTGGCTGCTTGCACTAAAATGGTTCTCTTTAAGGTTAGGCAGCTGGGGTGAAAGGGCCCCGCACGCCCAATCTCCGCTTGGAGATCGGGCACACAAGGCCCTCTGGCTGCCTGCACTTAAAGGATTCCTTTAAGTGCAGGCAGCCGGGGTGAAAGGGTCCTGTGTGCCCGATCTCCGCTCGGCTCAGGCAGTCGGGGTAAAAGGGCCCCCGGGGGGTGGGGCTTGGAGCTGGGATGTCCCCAATGTGATGTCATCACGTTGGGGACGCCTTGCCCCCTCCGGGAACACTCCCCCAAAGTCCCCTGCTGGGGAGCGAAGATGGATTTGGCAACCCTAATCATAATCAAGAAGGCCCTTACTCAGATAGCCAGAAGTTTATCCTCATTTGGCAGGGGCACCTGAAACAAGGACTCCAAAGATGACTCGAGTGAATGGGTAGGCTAATATGAGAGAAGACGATCCCAGAAGCAAATTGGGATCCAGTGTAAACGAAACAAAACTGAAATGATATGGTCCCTACAACCCACTCCAATCAGCATTCTGGCTGCAGCATTTTGTACCAACTAAAGATTCAGCACAGACTTCAAGGGCGGCCATGAGTAGCCTGCATTGCAGTCTTCTAATCTAAATGTTGCCAGGGCACGCACTACAGTGGCAAGATCTTTCCCACCGAGGAAGGGCCACAGGTTGCTCACTAGCCAAAGCTGGTGAAAGGCACCCTTGGGCACCATTGTCACCTGTTGATCCAGCAGGAGGCCTGGGTCCATCAACACCGTCAAGCTATTAGCCCACTCCTTTAGCAGGAGTGCAGACTCATCCAGAACAAGAGATATCCCAATTCTTGCATCAAACGTTTCCCCACCAGTAGCACTTCCATTTTGTCAGGATGAAATTTCAGGTTGCTATCTGTCATCTACCTGAAAACTGCCTCCAGGCACCTGGTCATGGTTTCCACATCCTCCAAGAAATCCAAAGTCCCAAGAGGTTGAAGAGAATTAGTAGGGTTCCGCCCACCCTGTCTGTGTCCTAGTGCAGGTCTTCCATCAGAGCAACCAAGTCTGTTTTAGTCTGATGACCAGACCTGAAACTAGTTTGGAATGGATCCGAACAATCCGCTTTATTCAGGAATCTCTGAAGTTGCCCACCCATCACTTGTTCTGTCACCTTGCTTGAGGATGGTACATTTGAGACTGGATAGCAGTTACTCAACTCTTCTGGGTCCAGAACAGGTTTCTTAAGGAGTGGATGCACCACTGTGGTTCAAGGCAAGAGTGACCACCCCATCTCTTGGGGAAGCATTTACTGGAATCATTCCCCCCCCCCCCAGCAGATTTAAGCAGCCAGGAGGGGCAAAGGTCATATAAGCAGATGGTAGGTCTCCAAGAATCTTCAGACTGGACAAACAGTGATATCCCATAGAACTGGATAAATTGGTATCCTGGCACCATGTAATCTGGTCACTACTAATGTAGAGTCGAAATCAATGCAAGAAATTTTATTCACAAAGTGTTTAGTTAAATGATTGCAGCAAGCTTCAGAATTGTCCTCCTCCTGTAAGCTGGAACCCAATAAGCCTCTGACTACTTGGAAGTTTTCTGCAGGTCTACACAGTGCAGATGCTATGGTTGCAAAGAAATATTTTTTTTGGCATCACCACCACCATGGCTTTGAAATGAATTCTAGCCCCTGCCTTGTCAGATTGTGCTGAGACCTCCATTGTTGCCTTAGTCATCTCCCTTGTTTTTTTCATTTTTCACATAAAGACCCTCTCTGCAATCCTTCCCTCATCTTTAGAGCAGCTGCTTGGGGCTGCTAATGTGCTTTTTAAAACCATGTAAGGTCCTAATCATGTTTTGCTAATTTGGTTTATGCACATCTGCACTGACAGTAGAGCAAGGAGCAAACTCCAGTTCTTCTATAGGCAGGCGTGAGATTGTCGCTTCCGTGAGACATCTCTCCATTTGTCTTCCTGGCCCACATCTTGCCAGCCCACAGAGCTCATTGACATCTGGTGGGCTTGGTCACAGGATGCCCTCTGGTGATTTCTTGAAGCAGGGCAACCTGGAACCCCCACCCCACCCCGAAATACGAATAGGGCCTTGTTCTTGGAACCTCAGTCACCACAGCATGGGAGTGTCTCCTAACCCTCCTATGCTGTGATGACTGCGGTTCCAAGAACAAGGCCCTATTTGTATTTCTTAGGGGGGGGGGGATTCCAGATTGCCCTGCTTCAAAAGATGGAACTTGAGCACGAAAAATAGGGTAGGCAAAACTGACTCCATGGGGTGATTGTAGGAGGCTAAATGGGAATGAGGAGAAGACTCTCTGTAACCTTTTGAGACACTGAAGACCTGTTGGCTGAGTGGCACCACATGTCCTAAAAATGTGAACCTTGGTATTTTGCTTTATGGAAGTGAAATGGGACAGCGATGATAGGACTGGGTACCTCTGTGTGTGTAGTGCCGTCAAGTCACTTCCCACTTATGGTGACTGAGCATAGAATCATGGAAATCTTGTGTCTGCTTCTATTCTATAAATGAAAATGCTTCATCCTTAACAGTTACTGAAGGCCTTGAAGCAGAAGCTGCATGAGAAAGAGGAAGTCATGCTAGGAAGAACGCAGGTGATAGTCATGCTGCAACAAGAACTGGATGGGAAGGACCAGCAACTAAAAGTAAGGAACGGGGTACAAGGACCGATTTCTTTCAACTAGATTATTAGTGATCTTATTACTCTTATTACTGTTCCTATTTTACAGAATATGTATGTGTTGGGAATCCAGGAGTATCCAAGGAGGGAGAAGTCAAGTAATTGTCCACCTTGCACCCCTCTCTTTATGTCAGGACAGGATAGAACCTGAGCTTTGTGTATGGTCAGGATGTCAACTTCTATAATAAAAATGTCAGTTGCACATTAATGGCCCTGTTCATACGAGGCGTTTTGGGCTGGGACGGGGGCGGAGCAAACGGGCGCGATCCCACGGCAACATCTGTGAATCGTTGCCTGCCCGTCCCTGTTCCGTCCCAAACGCCGATGCCGATACCGCGCAGCAAAAAAACACCACTTACCTAGGTGGTTGTATCCCTTGGAGTGCCTCAAGCCAGGCCGTGAGATTGGCCGGCGCGTCCTTGCGCCGCCGCATCTTGGCCCCCAGCCGTACTGCGTATGCTCAAGCATGCACAGTTCGGCAGCCTCCCCCTCCCATCGGACTCTTGCTCCCTGGCATCTGATTGTGCCGGGGAGCGATGCGCCGCGGCTGAGGGGATCCGTGGGATCCCGCTGCGGCGTCTCAAGTTTGGTGCGGCTCTGATTAGCCGCGTTTCAGCCGTGCCGTGTGGCAGGGACCAATATATAACATAGGTGGGGCACGTGTTCAAGACATACAATATTAAAGCCTCGTGGGGGGTCTGTTTTGTCATTTTTTCCTCCCTTTTATTTTGGGTCCTGCCACATGGCTGCTGATTCCACGTGCACTGTATATTTAGCATATTGGATTGGTCTTTTGAAGATGACCATTACCTTCTAAACAATAAAATGAACTAACATTTTGTGAAGCAAAAGAGAACTCATTTTAAGGACAAACAATGAATTGATTAAATCTGTCAGAGGTGGATCTTTGGTGGGGATTAGTAAACACAGAATGAATTCAGTGGAATAACATTGGGTGAATCATCAGCAGCACATTTTAAAATGTGTGTGTATCAAGTGCTGTCAAGTCACTTCTGACTCATGGCGATGCTATGAATTAATGACCACCAAAACATCCTGCTATTAATAGCCTTGCCCAGGTTTTATAAACTTAGGACTTTAGCTTCCTTAATTGAATCAATCCTTCTGATATTGGGTCTTTCTCTTTTCCTGCTGCCTTCAACTTTTCTCAGCATTATTGTTTTTTCCAGTGAGTCTTGCCTTCTTATAGTGTGATTGAAGTATGATAGTCATTTTAGCTTCTAAGGGGAGGTCAAATTTGGTTCAATCTAGAACCTACTTATTTGTCTTTTTGGCAGTCCACAGTATCTGTAAAACTCTCCTCCAACACCACATTTAAAATGAATCAACTTTCTTCCTATCTGCTTTCTTCACTGTCCAACTTCCATATCTGTGTAGTAATGAGGAATACTATGGTATGAATTATCTTGATCTTGGTTCCCAGCAACACATCCTTACCCTTATGGATCTTTTCTAGCTTCTTATTGGCTGTTCTTCCCAGTCTCAATTTCCTTCTGATTTCTTGGTTGCAGTTTCCTTTTTGGTTCATGACGGAGCCAAGGAATAGTAATGATTCACTATCTTTCTTCTTCTTCTTCACTTTTACAATTGAACCTTGTGTTCTTTGTCTCTCCAGTGCAGCAGGGCACAGGGTTCATAGAATCATAGAATGTTAGAGTTGGAAGGGACCTTGCAGGTCATCTAGTCCAACCCCCTGCACTCTGCAGGAGCGTAGCTGAAAGATAGCCCTACAACATACGCAAAAGATGGTTGTCCAGCCTCCACTTAAATACGTCCAGTGGAGCATCCACCACCTCCTGAGGCAGTCTGTTCCACTGCTCAACCACTCTTACAGTTAGGAAGTTTCTCTTGATATTTAGCTGGTATCGACTCACTTGTAATTTCCACCCATTAGATCTAGTCTTGCAATCCGGAGCAAGAGAGAATAGATCTGCTCCATCTTCTATATGACAGCCCTTCAAATATTTGAAGACTGCAATCATGTTCCCTCTAAACCTTCTCTTTCCCAGGCTAGACATACCCAACTCTTTCAGCCTTTCCTCATAAGACTTGGACTCCAAACCTCTCACCATCCTGGTCG